TATTAGAACCGACTTAATTCACGTGACACTAATTTCACACAACTGAGAATAAATACTTACGATCAGGTGTTAACGATCCTTCTCCTCCCGCCTAACCAAATACAAAACAAAACGATCAAATAATTAGCAATTGCTTGCATAGTATATTAACGTGCAAATGTACTGAATGTCATGCAATAAATTACAAAAAAGATTGCTTACATGTGAACGGTTTATGATGGTGACGGAGAGAAGAAGAACGAAGAAGAAGAAACTTGCTTCAAGTTTGGCCATTGATAACACGACAAAGATCAAAGCTTTTTGCTCACAATATGAAAGATATTGATTTTTGTTGATTTGTCCAATTGCATTCTATACAATATATATAGCAGATTAAACGATGTTAATTACAGTAAGTATTAACAACATTTATAACTATATCAAAACCATACAATCTTAACATTTAACTAATCATAAATGTAGGAATATCATTACTTTCAATGGTGGAGATTTGATTTTTTTTTAGCAGAGAATTGATAACTTTAATAAATATAATACACCAACTATCTACGTGTGTGTGTATGTGTGTATACTACAGAAGAGAAGTAGTTATTTGACACATAAATTATGAGTTCACAGATGCACTTATTTGACACCTATTTATAAAAATTACAAAATTACTACTATGTTCTTTTTCCTTGACTAGTCAAAGACACAATTCTTGACTAATCTTGAACGTATGAAAGGCTAGGATCATTTCTTAACTTTTCAGATAAACATGTATTTTAATAACATATAATAAGAATATTTAATATGAAAATTATATTTCTTTTTAAATTATCTTTTAAATCTTGTCCAAATATATCCATACGAATCGTTTATTTTATCAAATGATTTTTATTTATTTATAGAGAAATAAATAGCTTTTAATTATTTATTCTAAACATTAATTTATTTCATAAATTTTGTTTGACAGTTGTTGAATGATTTGATGTAGAATGATTAAGTGGTCAAAATAATTAACAAGCTCTCATGATATGGTGCACAATAAAATATAATTGTTCGGTAATTGTCTACAATTGAATTAGGGAGTTGAATGGTTAAAGGAGATACATGATACGAAATCATTCAAATAATTTTAGAACCATTAAAAGACATATTTTTTTTGGTCAAACAAGACTCATCTTTTAAGGATTAATAGACTGTAGATAAACAAACAACCCTTAAAATGTTGGAATATTTCGACCATTTTAATTCCTTTCCAAACATATTTCTAACACTATGATTAAGTCTATAAACACTTTTTATATTTAAATCATCGAACTTTTATAAAATGGTCACCTACATTTTTTTAACCCAAAAGAACTATTCCAGAATGTTTTAAAGTAAAAAAGAATATCTAAACCAATTTCAATATTCTCAAGTCTTAGGTGATTCAAACCCCTCACACGAACGTCATCGCTCCCTCTCGACACCCCCTTGCTGCCCCATCATTACCCATTCTCTATACCATCCAGTGGTGTTGTTGATCTCTGCCATCAATCTTCCTCTTTTTTATATGTATTTTTAATCTTTCGATTTCCTCTCTTTTACAACAATTTACTGAGTATGTATAGACAAATTTATTGAGCAAGTATCGATGGCAGGGACCAAGGACAGTGATAGAGAGCGGATGACAATTAGGGGGGGGGGGGGAGGCGGGAGCGATAACGTTGGGTGCGAGGGGTTTGAGTGACATATAGGGTTTATGAATGATAAAACTGAGTTGGGTTCTTTTTTTTACTTTAAAACCTTTATAATCAGTTACATGTTAGTTTTTTTGGGTTAAAATGATGTATGTAACCAATTTCTAAATGTCCGGTGGTTTATTCATTTAAAAAAATGTTTAAGGATTTAATCAAATGATAATGTTTAATGATTTTTCATTCAAAAAAGTTTAAGAATTTGATCACTCAAAAATAAGAAAGTTTGTTAGATTTTTCTACACGTTTCCATCAAAGGGATATTATAATCATGGTTGTTAATTCATTTCTAAGCACCAACGTGTGGTTATATATAGGGAAATGTTTATTTGAGAAATGATATATATCTGAGAAGTAAAGAAGTAATTCTAACTCTTCATCTGGTCAATATTTGCGGTTTTGACTGTGAAACACCAGATAATTCCTCGCATGAGTATGTGGAAGATAGAGTGATAGTTTCCTAACTTTTACAAATAGCAGCAAACGAGTTTATATGTGAACCCATATGATACACATATAAACTATATGTTCGTATGTGAACCCATTAATTAGTCACATATGAACTATTTAACTGATTCATATATAAATCACACGGGTTCATATGTGAATTGGTTAATTAGTTTATATGTGAATCAGTTAAAATAATTCATATGTGAATCAAATAAGTTCATATATGAACATGTTTGACGCCTATTTATAAAAGTTAAGAAACCACACTATATTTTTTACGCATAGCTGCAATTTTTGACCAATCAAAGCCGTAATTATTGACTAGTCAAATCCGATATTGACCGTATGAAAGGCTATGATCATTTCTTTACTTCTCAAATATTTATTACTTTTTAAAATAATCTTTGGTTATATAGGGATTGGCGACATACCCATTAAGTGACTAGCATTGGACGTTCCCAAACGGGTACTGTCGGATCGGGTGAATTCAATAATAGACTTCCTTTACTAGAGAAATGTTCAAACGAGAACTGCTGTGATTTACTAAAATATGAGAGTAATCTATAAACCAAGCGTT